ACAAGCTTGAACTAAACACTTGGATCTTCACACAGGGAAGGCTTGCACACTAACTTTTTATGAAAACATGGCTGAACAGTGACACTCCAAACAGAGCGATAGAACTGGAAGAATGCATGGTTTTCAGGGCTGACAGAACTGCAGCAGCAACGGGTTAAAGCAGGGGAGGTGGTGTATGCATGTATGTGAATAAATCATGGTGTTCTGACTCTACCTTCTGTTTATTAAGTGCAGACCCTTTTACCTACCACTTGAGTTTACATGCATCATTGTTGCTGTGATTTATGTACCACCAGATACAGATGCTAAAATAGCCATGAAAGACCTCATTGCTTCTATCAGTAGGCTGCAGGCATCACATCCAGACTGGGCTTATTGTTGCTGGGGACTTCTTCCACACTCTCAGAGTAACATTGATTCCTACACCAACTCTGTCTTAGATCACATCAACAAGTGTGTTGACAGTGGCATCACTACAAAAATTTCCAAGGTTTGCAAGAGATACAGCTTCCAGGTCTGGAGACCAGGAAGCTTACAGCTCAGCCAGGGTCAACCTCAGGAGGGCATCATCATAAATATGCTTACAAACAGTAGATTGAGGAGCACTTAATCACCTCGACCTCCAACGTATGTGGAAAGGCATACAGACTATTGCAGTTTTCAAGACACCCAGTTATTTGCCCTCATCCAGCTCTGCCTCCCTTCCTGACGAGCTTACCAATTTAATGCTTGCTTCGACCAGGGTAACAAGGAGATAACATCTAAAGATTCTCTACCTGATGAACTGCACCTCTCACTCTTCTCCACTGAGGTTTATAATACCTTCAGCACAGTGGATTTAAGGAAAGCAGCTGGCTTGGATGGAATACCTGGGTGTGTGCTCAGAGTCTGTGCAGGTCAGCTGGCTGGGGTCTTCATGGATATTTTCAATCTGTCGCTTGCACAGGAACTTGTCCTTGTTCGGCCTTGAATGACTTCCACCCAGCTGCACTCATCCTATCATCGCTAAGTACCTAGAGAGACTGATCTTACCACAATTGTCACAACAGTCCCAACTCATGTCAGAATGTTGTTTGTTTGTTTGATCAGTTCAGCGTTCAGTACTGTGATCCCCTCAATTCTGGTCTCCAAGCTAAACCAATTATGAATTAGCACATCACTATGCAACTGGATGTTAGACTTTTTGACTAACAAACCCCAGTCTGTTAATTTGGATAACCTCACCACGTGCGCTGGTTTGCCGCTAGGCTGTGTGATAAGCCCTCTTTTATACACTCTCTTCACTCATGACTGTGTCTCTGTACATGGTTTTAAGGGTAGGGACACACCAAACCGATGCCAAAGAACTAGTGCTGAGAAAAGCCAACTGTGGCGTTGCCTCACATCGCCTGCATCGGGGCAAAAAAAGTTGCACTAGAACACACTGAGCAGACTATAGCTGACATAACTAATGTGTATGACAAGGTCTCTCAACTCTGGCCCTCGAGGTTTACTTTCCTGCAGAGTTTATCTCCAACCTCGATCAAACTCGCCTACCAGCAACTTTCTAGTAATCCTGAACACCTTGATTAGCTTGTTCAAGTGTGTTTGATTAGGGTTCGTGCTAAATTCTGCAGGAAAGTGAACCTCGAGGGATGACGAGACGGCTTACAGGGATGAAGTCCAGCACCTGACTGTGTGGTATGCTGACAACAACCTGGTCCTCAACACACAGAAGACCAAGGAGATCATTGTGGACTTCAGACGAACTAAGAGTCATGTACATAGCCCTATTAACATCAACAGAGTCATAGTGACTCAAGCTTTGAGTTTCTGGGTGTTCACATCTACGACGATCACATCTGGTCCCTGAACTTCCCATTATTCTTTAAAAAAAGCAGAGCAGCATCATTATTCCCTCAAATCCTTAAGAAAGCTTATCTGTATGCCAATATACTGTTTGATTTTGACCACTGTACCATCAAGTGCATACTTATCAACTGCATCTCAATGTGGTATGACAATTGTTTAGTATCGGACCATAAGGCACTCCAGTGGGTAGTGAAAACTGCCCAGAAGATCACTGCAACTTAATTGCCAACAATCAAGGATATTTACAGGAATTGTTTCTTTGGAAGGGAGAATGGCATCATCTAAGGTGCATCCCATCTCAAACATGATCTGTTCATTCTCCTTCCATCTGGCAAGTACTATAGGAGCCTGTGGTCCCGCACCAGCTGGCTCAGGAAGAGTTTCTCCCCTGAGCCTGTGACCCTGTTGAACTCTTTGCCCTGAGACATTATTACTACTTACCACTGTACTGTCTCAGCATTTTTTTTTTTTTTTTGCATTAGCTGGACATCATAGTATTCATAGTATTTATTTATATTGTACATTCATCCAGCTGGACATGCGCTGCTTATATTGTCCAGTTGTCCAGTTAATGGTCCATGGTGACTTTAAATCCAGGGTTTCCATGGGTCCTTAAAAAATCTTACATTTAGTTGTAACAAATTTAAGGCCATAAAAAGTCTTAAATAGTACAAGAAAGTCTTAATTTTGATTTCAAGAAGTCTTAAATTTGGGCATGGAAAGACAAGAGTTGCAATATGGCTTAATGTGACAATTAAACCTCAGAAAGCTGTGATTTCATGTGTGCTCATGAGTGCTGCACATTTCAAAGTCAGGTGTTGTGTTGCTTTGTGTCCAGCCGTTACAGAGGAAACCGCTATATTTATGCTGTTTGAAAAGCGCCAGCTGCTGGCAGAGAATGAATGTGCAGTTTCAATAAGCCCTTCTGATGTTTTTGTTCAGACCAATGTGAAAATCAACCCATGTTTTTAAACAGCAAATATGCAGAGTTGTAAGTGTGAACTGGTGGATCGACAAGAAGATAATGCATTCTAAATATCAAAATAATTAAGACAGTAAAATATGTTTATATGTTATTTAATTAATATAATAATTGATTGATAGCAATTGTGTACATTAATATAATAATTTATACTTTTGACTAATTAATTTGGTAACACTTTCTATGAAGCCCGCATTTATAATACAGTATAAGGGTATTCTTAAGGCATTATAATGAATGCATAATGCATTATAAAAAAACCTTATAATATGTTGTATCATCTCATGAATATTCATAAGAACAGTTTTAATATATTATAATATTTACTTATTTGTGTTTATAGTTTTTAAGAGTATGATGATTTATAACACAATGAACACATTGCATCCACTTTTACAATGGATTATATTTCTCATAGTTATAATGTATTATAAGTCTCATATCTTGCCATTTTTCTTATGCTACTTTACTTAAAGCAGTCAAAGACCACTTATAAGTAGTAGTAATAATAATAATAATAATAATAAAAATGTTCTCTCAAACAGCCATAAGATCAGAAATCAGATCAGATGAATGTGTAATATGACACATTTGCTTTGAACTATTTTTATTGTAATATCAGTTTGATTATTCCTCTAATGAGAGTTAATTGGCATGTAGTTGCAAAGTTGCTTATAGTCGATTGATTAAAGGGACCATCAAAATAAAATGTAACCATATAAAACATTGCATTTTTTTCAGTTGGAGTATAAAGCTCACATCAATTGATTAACATTAGCTCCACAGGGAACACTCAACATCTAACCACTCACAAGCTGTAGTAAGATACTGTGCAGATCTTAAATAAACAATGTCAAGATATGATACTGTCCATTATTCTGCAAATGAAGTAGATTTAATATGGTGTTCATTGTGTGTTATAAATAATCATACTCTTAAACTTATAACCACAAATACGTAAGTATTATGATGTATTATAACTGTTGTTATGATTATTCATGAGTTGATATAACATATTATAAGTTTTTTTATAATGCATTATGCATTCATTATAATGCCTTAAGAATACCCTTATAATGTATTATAAATACGGGCTTCATAGAAAGTGTTACCATTAATTTGATTAAAAATGGTTGAAATGTGAAATTTAGCATTTTATACAACTTTTTGTTTTTGATAAAACCTGTATCTGAACTGTAAACAATGCTTTTTACAGTCATTTTACAGTTTAATATGTTACTATAGATGTTGCCTTACTGCGCTCATGTGGTATTAATTTTATTTGTGCAGGTCTTGAGCTTAAAAATTCTGCAGATACCCTGAAGTCAGAGAATGATTTAATGGGCTATGTAACACTTTCAATTGTCTAAAAAAATACCCCTATTTGAATGTTTTTGTTCAACATACCTGTTGATTGCCTTTAACTTGTGAAGAAAACCTTTTAATTAGTTTTCTTGTTTTCCAGAGGGTGTACTCATTTTTGCAACACAACATTTTATCACTTTAATTGGAAACCCTTATTTCCCTGATTAATATTGAATTGTTTTTTTTATTTTTATTTTATTGGTCAACCAGAGTTGCTGGAACATAATATATTCAAAGAAACTACAATATGTCTTCTATATAAAGAGAAATTGCTGAATTGATTAAATATTAGAGGGGGTTTACTCATTTATGCTGTGTACTGAATGTAAAATATACAATGAGTTCGAAATTAACACCTGCCAGCCCAGTAAATGCGGGTGAAAATCAACCGCGGCGTGTAAAACTCACCAACCAATTTGCCCAGTTGTGATTCATAAATTATGTCCTCCAACCAGAAGCCTCCAATATTAGCAAAACAAAGAGCAAACAATGATTGTTTATAGTAAAACTGAAAGCCATTCAATCTTTCAGAAGCAGAATAATAAATACAATTTTAATAAATACAGTATATTTGAATCTAAGTTGTGATCTTTATAATCTGGTTTATTTCTGATATTTTTATTTTGGGTAGTAGAAGTTCTCAGTAGCCGATAAGTTTATAGCTAAATTCAGAAGCCAAATTGGCTGGTGAGTAAAAAAAAAAAAAAAAGTTAATTTCAAACCCAAAATGTACATATTCATTAGAAATAAAGGCTTCTGAGCCAGAGTCCTGCCTGTATCTTATTATGTTTTTGGGTTACAGCTGAGATTCCTGCTCTTCTATTGAGTAGCCAACACAATCATCACAGAAGCTGTGAAAACTGCTACACACAGATGGGACCCCCAGGGCCTCCAGGGCCACCAGGTCCTCATGGCTCTCAAGGATTCCCAGGTTTATTTGGTTCTAATGGGCTGCAAGGTCCGCGGGGTTTACCTGGGCGGCCTGGCGGCCCTGGCATGAAAGGTACAGGCATGCTACACACATCACAGCATGTCTATAGGGCTGTACATTGTCTCAGAAAGTTTAGAAATTCATTGTTTTACAAATTTGTTTGTCAATGTAACAATTGTTCCCTGAGAAGGGGAATGAGACACAGTGTCCTCTAGTTTTCAGTCATGGTCCTGGGGACTCGCTGCTCTGCACATTTTGTGTGTCTCCCTTATATAACCAGTGTTGGGCAAGTTACTCTGAAAATGTAATCAAATTACTGATTACTGATTACTCCTTTTAAAAGTAA